GCATTTAGCTATGCTAAGTCACATTTTTCTATAGTCCAAATAGTAAAAGGTGTTCTAACTCTAATGCCATCTATATGTCTAGTTGGCTTAGTATACCCTTCCTTAACTAAAACCCACATGTGATAGTCAAGCGATTAAAGAAATGTAGACATTTATATTTTCCAAAAATCAAAAGGGATATTATCAAATAATGGAGGTCTAGTCATCGAATACCCTTCAGGTGTGTTTCAATTTCCAAAAGTATCCATTATCATTTTTAAAAAGTAGTCTAAACTTATAGTGTTGAAACAAAGCTCTGATACCACTTATTGATTCTATATAGGTTGTTAATCCTAAATAATTATCTCAAGGCTAACCAAAAGGGCTGGGGGTAAATTAGAAATTTAAAAATTCTCTTGAGTTTTTAATAGAAAACAATTTTAAATTTTATAGTAATTTAATTTTAGATTAAAATAAGCTTTTCAACCACATTAAACAAATTGCCAAAAATAAATGTGGAAAATAAAATGATATAAAGCTTCATAATGGTTTGGTCAAACATGACCTACATCCACTCCTTGAAGACTCCCTCTTTAGGTATTGAACTATTACTAAAGTGACTCTCCTTTTACTTGCATTGCAAGGTAGAGAAGCCTTTACAACTCATCTCATCCACTAATCCCCGATGCGATAGAAAATCGTTTTCCTTTTACACCCTCTAAGTGTCGGGAGAGACCTGTCATTTGTTTTCACTCTCCATGTGTCGGCAACGAACCATCATCCTTTCACATGCACAAAGTGTAGGCAGAGTACTGTCGTCTGTTCACACCCTCCAAGTGTTGGTAGAGTATCAGATCTTCTTTTAAGATCTTTTCATGAGCAATAAGAAATAAGAAAAGAAGAGTTGTAACCAAAAATACAAAGAGATCCTTACCTTTGAGTAACCTTGTAAACCCTTCACCCTCCACTTATAAAAAATCTCTCTCAAACACTCTCCTACCATCACTCTTTCACTTGCCCTTGAAAAATCATGAAGAACAACATTTTTACGTCAGGATTTAAGGACTTTTATATGAAAGACACAAAAAACTATCAAGTAAACTAAAATTTTCCATTTTGAGCAAGTACAAATGTACAGTACGATCATATGTTTGTACGTATGAAAAGTTTAGAAACTATTGTACATGAACCTTTTGTTAATCTGTACGAAATATTTTAGTACAAGATAATTATCTAGTATGAACCAAGTTCGTAATGTATGAACAGTTAGAAAATTTTTTGACTCAATAGGTTTGAAAAGGTAACCCACATTTTCGTACTATGGAAATCATTAGTTTGAAAGGCCAATCATACAGTTTGATCAATTCAATAAAATTTGGCTTTCATCGAGACAAAAAGGGACTCATTAAATTTGTACTCTGGACATGATCTATATGAACAAGGCATCATATAGTACGATCTATTTAGAAAATTTTCAAGTTCGTCAAGAGAAAAAGGGACCCATCCAATTCATACTCTAGATGTCATCTGTACAAACAAGGTACCGCATAGAATGATCAGTTCAAAAAAAAAATTAAGTTCATCGGGACAAAAAGGAATCCATCCAATTCAAACTCTGGACATCATCCGTACGAACATGATATCGTACAATATGATCAATTCAAAAGAAACTTTGAATTAGTCTGATAAATAGGTACCCTTTTAATTAGTATTATGGACATTATTTGTATGAAGGAACCTTCATACAATACGAATGGTACTTAGAAAAATTTTCTACTTGTAGTTCATTTAACTCCTCTTAGGGGAAAAAACTAAAAAAATCATTCATACGAAATGAATTCATACAGCACGATCCATTTAAAAATTTCAAAATTTAAACACTCACCCAAATTGTGTGTGTGCACAGTTATTCAATTACAATCACACTATCTAAGACTTAATAAAAATAAAATAAATACATACTTCATTTATAATGAACTCTAATCTAATCTGATTTGAAGTTTTCAATAATCTAGAGTATGATTTTCTTAAAATGTTAGTGCACACAAAAAAAAAACAAAACATCCAAAACACGTTAGGAGAAATTTTAATTAAAATAATAATATTTGGAATCATAAAAAACATACATGTTGCAAGAATATTAACAATAAAAAAACTAAGTTATAACTATCTCAACATTTATGATTTTTAAAAATTTTCTTGCTCTAATTTCTAATATCCATATAACACATGAGCAATGATAACCTACATATAAATAGATTAAATATTTTTCTACATCAAATCCTAAAACTTTTACTTAATAACATAATGGCAATTTTCTAACAACTTTCCACTCTCTCCAAAAGTGTATTTGATGTACAAAGCATATATCATGATAGATTATTATAAATTTTAGAGGTAAAGTGGTATTTATCATAAAATAAATAGTATTAGCTCCATTACGATAATATATAAACACTATACATAAGGCATGTATTATAGGATTACATTGATATGAAATAAAACATAATTTTCTATCAAGATTATTGATTATCTTAATCTAATCATAAATTTTATCAATGATTCATTTTTTATGAATTAGTTATTATAAAAAATATTAGATTAATTTGTGTATTAGCAACTTTGGCAACAACATCAACAAAAATTGAGGTTTAGCATTAGGCAATATAAACCTTCAAAGCCTAAAATGAAAGCACACAAAATTAAAATAAAGATATATGAAACGTCCTAATGTATAAAATAACATATCAATTAACAGGTTTGTACTCTAAGTTTTTCGTTCAGTTTATTATCCTGATTAATCGTAGTCGATATTTTTGGTTGATTTGGTTGTGGTAGAACTTCTGGAAGTTTAGCCAGTGGTTATTGGATTTATTACCTTTCACAGCTAATTCAATAAACTGGTAATGAGTTGACGGTGATTTTGAATGCCGACTAAGTTGCATTTTGGCTTACAATGCAAAATTTACAACCTATGATAATGACCATATCGAGCTTAACTCCAATTTACTAAATAAGATGACATTTAGGCCACAAATATATCATGCAATGGTTTCAATATGGGATTCATTTAGAATGTTCCATGCACTCAACCTGTAGAATTCGTCTGTATATTCACTTACAGAATGAGCCCCTTACACACAATGCTTATATTTTAGGTATATTATTTGCTCAAAATCAATGGGAAGGAAATGAGCCCTCAAAAGCTATTTTATCTTATACCAACTCTAAATCCATCATTTCCCTTCTCTGTGTCTCATTCACAAAATTTGTGCCCACCAAGCACTAGCACCTTCTCTCAACCTACAAGCAACATACTTCACTTATTTTTCCATTTCAACCTCCATGTACTAAAATAAGATTTCAATGACATGTTCCTAGTCCTAATAGTCTTCGATGAGCAGACATCCATCAAAGAACAAATTAGTTCCATGGTATCATAACACTACTCTGAATCAATAATGTTGAGAGCTTATTGGAGTTATAAAGTTTCTCTTTGATAGCGGTAGAGTCATAATTTTTTTAATCAGACAAACAAATTAATTATTTTAAAAAGTTTATAAATATTTTTTCAATATCTATTTATAAAATTAAATTCAAAAATTTTATAGGGTTCATAAATTAACTTTTTTATATAAAATTCTATTTATCTAATTAAAATTATATGATATATAAAAACTTAAAAAATATTTCAAGTGAGAGCATTAGTCCTCTCAAGCCCCCTTAATTTGCAATTTTATTTTACTATAAAAGCATAATATGTTTGGAACTTATAAAATTATATCACTGATCATATAAAGCAAGAAATGTCATTAAGACACTTTGGATAGGTCCTTATTCTCAACACCTTTGGCCCCACTTACTGAAGCCTAAGCTGGAGATTAGAACTTTTTTTATGGACGAACATAGGTTTTAGAATTGTATAATAAAAATGGATAAACCTACACATACATGAACCATGCAGATAGTGGTCGAGTTGGAATTTTGTTTTGTGTGGTGGCAAGATATTTAGAAAGAAATTCTTCAAAATTATTAAAATGTAAATCACATAATTGATCATTATTAAACTCTCATTAACTAGTTGGTTGGGAGATTTGGTTATCAATTAGAGGTCATTAGTTCTACGGCTATGTAAGTTTGCCTAAATTAGCCAAATGTCCTCATATTTAAGGAAGATGGGATTGGTTACATTAAAGCTTTAATGTGTTAAGTTGTGTGGCTAAATGGGTTGTCTAAACTCACAAGCCTTAACTGCTTCAATTTACCAAATAGAAAAAAAAAATTTTTGAAGCCTAATGAGAACCAAAAGGATCAAGTTGAAGAAAAATATGCGATGATTTTAGTTTGTAACAGTATGACACTAAACAGAAATCATAACAACAAGCAATCTTCATTATTTTTAAGAATAAGCTCTTTTGTGAAGAAAGGTGCCATTTTAACTTTGATAATTAAAATTCTATCCTCTAACAAATAATTTCATTACTTTCCCTTAATTATAAAGAAATTAAGCACATCTTAACAGTTTTGAAGAACTCTTATAAAGTTACCTTTATTTGATAGTCAATTATTTCATAAAATTTGGATACAATCAAACTTTTTCTTGACCATATTTATTATCCTGCATGCCCCAATTTTATAACCAATATGATGAAACCTTTTAATTCTAGCCACATAAATAAATTGCGTTTAACTCAATCAACTCGGTCTATCCATCACTAGCTACAACCTTTTGTCCCAAAGCCAATTTGTAAGTTCCCCACATCATAGACTACATCAAACCTGCGTTGTTGCATATTGCCAATAACCACAAGCTCACTATCATCCTTATTTTCAATGAATGATAAGCAAGATTGAGATTTATTTCCTAATAAAAGTATCCCTGAGGAATCTAAGTTAGTTGTCAATTCACCATCATAGATCAATAAAATCTCTGACAGCACCACCTGCTCAAAGTTAGTGAGGTCATAGCATGTGTCGAGATTAAACAATGGTGAAGCCATTGGGTAATTGGTCATTTTTTCTCAAAAAGTTCTACGTAGGGCGGAGTAGGCAGTGGGTGGAAGGTGCGTAAATGCTGTGCCAGAGTCCAACAAAGTTCCAGGGCTACTAAATATAGTAGGTGAAAGGGCGAGCCTTTCACCCCCAATAGAAATGGCAGTGAGAATGATGAAGTAGTATGATGGCATTTTTGGGTTGGTTAGCATCGGTGTATACTTCACACCAAGGGCTGCACTACCTAGTTCAAGATATCCAACTTTGTTGGGCCCTGATGGTAAACAATATGAGAATATATTGTTATACAACTGAGTTGTTTGAGAAATAATTGAAAGAGCCCCTCGGCCAAGGCCTAATAACCCATCTACATGTCCAAAATATCTAGTGTTATTATCTCCACAGCCAAAGTGGATGTTTTGTATATTATCATCGGAGAATTTTAAGGTGTCTTGAAGGAGTGACCCTTTAGTAATAGTACTACCAGCATATCTTTGCTCGTAGAGGCAGGTGAAGGTAGAGGAGCAACCAAATCGAGGGAGTTGGATACAATAGTTAGAGATGCATTCAATGGTGGTGAAGGTGGATGATTGGGATGGGTCAAAAAATGGGTCTTTTTGGTTATAACAGTTAATGCATGGGACACATTGGGTCCAAGTGAGATCAGAACCAGTGTCAAAAATAAGTGTGAAGAGCTTGGTAGGGGTTCCTAAGCCTATGCTGACGATATAGTCAAAGACACCAAGAGAATAATCAATTATTGCTGGAACACCTACAGAAAGGGGCCACCAACAAGGTTTAGGCAAGCAGTGGCATTGGCGGCCTGGTATTGGATGTATTCAACGCGGGCTAGGTCCTGACGGAAGAGATCCACATGTGATGGCTTGTATTGGTGCTTTAAGGATGAGCAGGGGCCATGCTTATAGACCACATTGAGCTTGGAAGGGCTTGTGCCTGTCACATTTTAAAAAACAAATTAATGAAAGTATTAAGTTTTTTTTTTTTCTTTTTCATCACATTTAAGCTTTTGATGTCTATCAAATGAGCTTATGCTTGTGATATCTAACAAATGAGCTTAATTTCAACTAGAATTTTAATTATTCAAATTATTTTTATGAAAAATAGTCTCCAATATTCTATTAAGAAATTATTAAAATTGCTCGCAAACTTTTATTTAGAATAGAGCAGGAGCTGCTCGGCAACAGTGACTTCATGTCAATGACATGGTGTTCTCCAGCAAGCACTCGAGCTGATACTAGAAATTTCTTCTCAATTAAAAGAAAAAAGAAGAACATAATGAGAAGAATAAAATATGAGAGTAGAGAAGAAGAAGTCTCCATGAGAATAGAACTTTGAATCTCAGCTTAAAATAACTTGGAGGAGTAAACATAACGGGTTTATTTAGAATGGAGTAGGAGCTAATACTAGATTTATAGGCGGTGGACTATTGCGCATAATGGGTTTATTAGGTATTTATTTTATAGGAGAAGTAATTGTTATATGGGAAGATTTGGTCATTGGAGAAGTGATCAATAAGGGTTTTGACCTATAAATAAGGAAACAAATGTCTATTGATTGGGCTTGTTCTTATACTACCATGATGATTTTTTCTCTAGTTTATGTTATATATGAAGTAAAAAATTTTTTGGATTCCTATCAATCCAAATTTTTTGAAAAGTGTTGGCCATTATTTTTTTTCCATATGTCTGCTCAAGTAAAAAACATAACAGCTAATAATGAGTGTTGAAAAGTTAGAATATGCTTCAAACTTTCCCTTGACATAACTTTTTTATTTTTTTAAGAAAAAAAAAGGGCACAAAAAAATTTGATAGTATTTTGAGTGAGAATTTAGCTTAGATAATAGCTCAATTATCAATTAATTAGAGGATTTTATATCAAATAATTAGTTTTTTATAAAATAGCTAATTTATTTTAATAAATAAAAAATGTTACTAGCAAATAGAACATTTTTTTATCTATGTGTAGAATTTGATTGTGATGATAAATAAAGTTTTATTATATATGGGACCTCAGTTATGTTAATTGAGCTTATTGGGGGGGGGTGCATGGGTTCTCTATGTGCTTGGGTTCTAGTGTTTCGTACCAAATTGTTTTCCTTTGCTTTATAGCATTGCAGCACTAGATAGTCGAGTTTGATATAAGAGAAAGGAGCATTGCAGTTATCTAGATGTCAATGCAATTATATTTTTGTTACACTAGAGACATAAATTGAAGTCTCATGGCACTCCAAACTTGGTACAATAATGTTGCAAGTGGGGCTAGACATTAAGGGGTTTCAAAATCTAACACAAGCTGGAGACCCAAACTTGACCCATAAAATTTTGAGTTTGGGTTAACTCGTTTGTTAAGCTGTTCAGGTTTGGGTTCATAATTCCAAGCCATAAATAAAATTGGGTCAAGTTCGAGTTTTCCCAAAAACCCAAAACAAACCTAGATTGATACATTTAAAATCCTAAGTAACATGTCTCATCACTCAGTTGCTGCATCATCATGTTACCACTGCCAGCTTGCCACCAACTTATCATTGCTCCTACTATCATAGTGGCACCATCCCATTCGAGCTACCGTTGCTGCCTATCGCTGTCATCCCGCCGCACTACCGATGCCTTTTGATGAGCGCCTGATCGCTACCCTCATGGATTGAGTCAGATCAACCGTGTAACCCACATGAGTCAAGTCCGAGTTAACAATCCTTACCCATTTGCAAAACTAGGTCGAGTTAGTGTTTACCCTTTTGAATTCGTGTCGAACGGGTTGGACCTATCCAGACCTGTGGACCCATTTTCACACCCTTATTGACAATTTTATTTCTAATTTCTCTTATTTAATTTGAAATATTATGCCCCTTGGTTAGTTTTTTTGTATAATTATTTATTACGTGTAGAAAATGGCATAAATTATAAAGAGAAACAAGTAGAGAGTGAGAAAGAAAGAAATGTGTACAAATTCTGCCAATTGTTATAATGAATTTCTTAGTGTTGCGTGTCTCTAGTGTTTTTTTCATATTTCAAATTTGTCGAGTTTAAATCCTGACTTTTTTTCAGCTGCATTTACTCTTTCTTATTTGTAGATATTGTATGGGTCACTTTCCCTTCTTAATCTTGTGAATGGAAATTTTACTTAAAAAATATGACTATTTATGTGGGAAAGGTCTAGTTGTAAATAGAAATTGTTAAGGCACTTGATGATATTCATAAAAATAGAGTTTGTTACATAGATAGAAATCTGATGCAATATTATAACTTAAAATATCTCAAAAAAAAAAAATGTAGTGGAGATTAAAGATACTTAGTGTTATTGCACATGCATTAAATGGATGTGAATAAAAGTCTAAATATAAGAATTCATACTAAAAAATTTTAAATTATATTTTCTTTGATAAAAGATAAAATTATTAATTTTATTCCGATAAGAAATTCTAATTATTAATTATATTAGTGATAAATAATATATATATATATTTTAACTTTGATCAAAAGAAATGAGTGCAAAATATTTCAAAAAAGAGAATAAATATTTACAAATTTCCTAAATTTTCTTAACATCAAATAAATGAGTGGATAAAAAATAATCTCCTAAATATTTTAAATAAAAAACTCATTAATAGGAAATGAGCTAATCCATTGTTCAAGTGACAAAGAACATATTATTGAGAACAGACGGATTATGCACTCATAGATAGTTTAGCAAGTTAAAAACTTATAAAGTTGTGAATTAGCATTAAAAATAATAGCTAAGTCCAAATTCTAATTATCAAAAGGATAGACATAATATATTATGTTATGGAACAAAGTGAGGATGGTAAGGGAAAATTAAATTCTCAAATACTACAATTCAGAAAATTGGTATTTTTTTTTTTAATGAATCTTAGAAGGAAACATCCAATATAGCCTTGCAAAATTTAAAAAAAGAAAGAAAGAAGCCAACTAAAGGAGACACATTATTAGGAAAATTTACTCTTGGCAGAGGCCTTATTGAAAAGAAATGATAATAAGATTTCTTCCTTCTATTGCTTTACAGGTATGTTCTTACATAATTATTAGAGGAATGAGTCAAAAGACTGTTCAGTAGTTCCACAATTGGCAAGTTACAATGATCTGGCAAAATTAAGAATTGAAAGTTTCTCAATAAACAAATCATTTTCTCCAAATTACACATTACTCTATAACAAATTTTTTTTTTTGGAAGAATAACAAAAGACTAATACATAAGAATTGATCATTATTAATTTTTTAAATAAAATAAACTTATATATATGATCCATTTGACAATTCATGGTATAACATACAAGCCCATCCTTTTATCAGCTCCACTTTTGTAAATGGAAAATCATTATCAGAATAACAACAACTTTATATGTTAATTAAAAAAAATTGATCATATTCATATGTAACAACATCATACAAACAGCTAGAGTTCACAAGGATGAGCTGACTCCACTATCAGCTATTAACTAACGACAAAAAGGGTATTAGATTAGAAAATATCTAAAAAAAAGTAATACTGGAATCCAAAATTCATTAGAATCATAAATAATACAATTACAAAAAATAACCATGATGAAATCATAATCTAAATGCCTAGCAAAACTCTTTGTAACTTTATTGAAAACCCACTAATTATTGAGGGACTCATAAGATAATTATAAATTTACATAAATAATTAACATCAAGTTCTATAAATTTTGTGTATGTTATCAAGAAACTTACATAATATCATCATAATAAATGATTGTTTTGATAAGCAAGACATATTTTTTAAGTGTAATGTTAAAATATGAAGAAAATTTCTTAGAACTTAAGGATTTATGAATTAGCAAAACACAATATAAGCATGTAATTTGTAAATTTAATGAAGGAAAAATTTATTATCAAATGATATTTTTGGAAGATTAATTGACACCTATATTTTTGGAGGATTATTTTCTATACACATTCAATTGCTAAAGTTAGCCATCAAAATTAATAATAAATTGTCCTCCATGGAATTTGGAAGGGAAAAAAATCATTTATGCTTCATATATAAAATAATTTCACTTAATCAATATATCTCTATTTCATATATGAATTCAAGAAAAAAATATAGAACATGTTAAAAATTTTTTCATATGCTATAAAAAAATTTTATTATGTTACCAATTTCATAAATATTTTATTTTTCTTTTGGCTTTTATTGTCTATATATGCCTCATATGGAATGACTATGAGTTAATTAGGTTTTGGAGTTTTAGAATCCTTACATGCTAGGTGGTTACAACATGGACACAGTGATTGACTTGCTTAGAAATTGTAATGTAATACATGACAATTGTCATTTTATTAATCATCGTGATAGAACTTATCATATGATGACATTATTCTCCAATCATTTTTGAATTATTAAAAATAAATATTTTATGCATGCAACCTCATAAAAGAAGTTACTAGAAATAATGACTATAATGAGATGCTATACAAACTTTTAAAATGATTACCAATATTTATTTAGTTATTTATATTTTGCCTACACATGAAAAATCAAATCATGAGATGAACTTGGTTAGAAAGAGCTAAAATAGTCCTTTAAGAGGGAGAAAATAGGATTAGAAAAGTTAGGGTTTTCCAGTCTATGGAATAATATGCCTTTCATCCTTGCTTGAACATAACCAAATGAAGCCACATCTTGCAACATTTCAATCATCATCCTGTACAAGCCAAATAATGAGCTTTAAATTCTACTAGCAAGTTCTTGTAGAGATGGTGTGGGTATTGATATCTCAATAAACCTAACATGGGATTTAGAAGTAAAATTAAAATTTAGCACTGAAATACTTGAGATTCACATGAGATAGCTCAATTGTATGTAATAGTTATAAAAAAGTAATAGAATTGTCACTAAGAAGTATATATATAATTGCTAAATGTTAATATGGAAATTTTTTTTTCTTTTCCAAAAAGAACTTCTAATAAAATTGAAATTGATAGCTTTTATCTACTTTTCAAAAAAAAAAAAAAAAAAAGAAGAAGAAGAAGATATCACAACTAATTAAAATATAAATTGTTCTATAAATTCCTATTAGATTATCATGTTTACTTTCTTCTAGAAGGTGATTGCAATACTTGGTGCAGTGGATTGAACTAAATGATACTATTTTGAAAGTCACATTATAGAGTGTAGTGATTTAGAATCCATCTAATGGGTGGGGCAAGCATAGAGTTTTCAATGCATTCATGACTTATATTATATAGACCCATAATTGAATTATTGGTGTGATGTTTTCAAAATGTTTTCATTTGATATAATTAATTGGGGTGGGTTAGGTAGTTCCATTTATGGTGTTTTAAGATAATATGAGCTTGATTGGTCAAAGAGCCATGAAAGATAGATAATTCTTTTAAAATAATCTTACAAATTTCCTTAACTTCCTAGAGTAAACCAATCAAGGATTAGTTATTATTTGACCCATCTAAAGTGATATGATTAGTTCATTAGAGAAATTGGAGGTAATAGGAGAAAGCCAATTATTTATTTCCTATTATTTCTCATATACCTCATAAGGGAGAGAGTTTCAACAGTAAATTAAAAATAGATATAATTTTCTTCAATATGGAGATCACTTGATGAGATTTAATATAGATTGACCTTAAAAATTATCTATATTTTATAGATGACAATGAAGCTTACCCCATGTTATTTCAAGAAATAAAAACAACGTCAAGGAGGGTTATTATGTCCAAATAATTATATTTAAAAATTAGAATATTTATATTATAAGTGGGAGGAACGTCTATTTTATGTAAGATGATGCGAGAATCTTAATATGTGTAGCATATTACATCAAATTTATTAACATCAAATAAAGTTTAAGTATATTTTCATGGTTCTTCAAAAACTAGAGAAAGGATAAAAATAGTTGTTATCTCATAATAGTTCTCACAACTCTTTTTACTTCATTCCTAGCTTTTATGATTCTCTCCATATTAATGGAAGATAGTAAAACTGGTCTTGGAAGTACATACTAAAATATCTGTGAGGAGTCATGTGTTCAATTTATTAATTTGGGTGAAATAGTTTTTTAATGAATGTCCATCAAAATGATTAAAAATAATATCTTGCATATTGACCTTCATTATTTGAGTTCTTAACATATTTATTCACTTTAGTAGTCGATATTGTGGATCTTGATGAAAATGCTTCTATGAATATATTGAACGGGTGTAATTAACAGGTTGATGTTGATGCTTAGAATACTGAGGAGAGTGTGGAGTGTGATATCAATCCTTTGGTTGTAACTATTTTCTTGATTGGAGATGTCAAGTATTCTCTTGATGCTAGTTCTTTGCTTTGTAGTAAAAGTATCAAAATTGCTTATAGTAGATGATGATAGTCTCATATATTGAAATTTGTAGTAGATTCATTCAAAACAATTAAATTTTCAATAAAGGAAAATATTTATTTTTGGTGGAACTTTAACACCGAAAAAAATCATAAATTTCCTAGAAAAATAGCTTTCCGACATATTTCTTTTTCCGAGTAAAATGCTGCATTTTGAGCTGAATTACCTATGAATATTTTTCTGTTAATTCTGACTAAATTTTCATCTAAAATTTGCAACATAGCTATCCATCATAATTTTGTTGGTAATATCTGTTCAAATTTTTTATGACCAACCCTCAAAAACTTAGATGGCACCTACTACCAGAAATTGTAGTGGCACCTGCTTTGGGAATCCTGTCAGTAAATCTTGCAGATAATGATCACAAGAAATACATCACATAACTCACTGTATCATTATCATATTTGTTGTATTTTTGGGATTCTAGGGAGAGAAGCTATGGGATTTTCAAGAGAAAGAAGCTATTTTTCAAATTTTGATTTGGTGGGAGTCAAGTTTTCGATGATGGCGGATGATCACAATCCTTTCTCAGGCATAGGTCCAAGGGGTGATCATCAATCTAAATTTGATGCTATGATGGTTCAATAACAATTATTTTTCAATAATTTTCCACCTACCTTTAGAGGTGATGCTTCGAGGGTTTTGGCCAAGTCTGCTAACAATGCAGTTCATATTAACTCAAACTATGGTAAATCTCTAACTATTAATGAAGGTGGTATGTTAAATGTTAAATCTATTCTGGTGTCTCTGGAGAAAGAGAATCTTTTATCCCAAATGTTGAGGGTGTTTGGGAAACATTACTAAAAGAGTCGATAGGTAATGATCTATTGAATGTGTGGGATAAGAAGTCTCATAGAAGGATTGCTGATTGGGATTTTGGTAACTGCCTTTTGGAAGATGGTGTGGCAGTCATGTTGTTTGAGAAGAATGTATTGGAGAACACTAAAAATCTATAGAATGCCCTGGTGGTTAAAGTCTTCAGAGATAACATTCCTCAGTATATTATAAATTCTAATCTAAAAAGATAATATTCTCAATTAAATAAATTTATTCGTACATGGCTTGGTAAGGGTTGGAGTTTGTGTTCATTTGATGATGAGAAGTCGGCAGATTTTGTGCTTACTAATGGACCTTGGTATGTTAATGGGAATACCATTGGTGTGGATAAATGGTAACCAACATCCTCCCCTAATTCTTTGAAGAGTTTGTCTGCTCTAATATGGATAATAATGACCAATTTGCCATTGTAGTGCTGGGATGCTACTAATGTTTGTAAAATTTTCATCAAAGATTTGGAAGCCATATTTGATTGATGAAAATATATTCCAATGTGGTAGGAGGGAGTTTGCAAGGATTTGTGTTCATATTAACTTAGAGGAATCATTGCCTCTTGGTGTTTGGGTAGAGGAAACTCAGGGAGGTTCATCCAAAAAATTAATTACAAGAGGATTCCTAATCTCTATTTCAATAGTGGTAAGCTTATGCATGACATTAGTTGCTATACAGAGAAGGTATCTGATGCTGTTCAGTGTGGGTTAAAGAATATGGAGCAATGTGTGAAGGAATCAGGTAGACCTAGTGGGGTCTCGATTAATAATTTGGTAGAGGATGTGGCTAAGTCATCTAAGGAGGACGATAATTGTTATGGGTCAAGGTTATATGTATTTTATGGTAGGAAGGTTCCATGGGATGAAGGCTTATGTGGGAGGAAAATTAGGTGGAAGAAAAGTTTTAGCAGGGATCCTAAGGATGCTGCTAAGACTTCTTTTTTTAAAAAAAAAAGGAGTAATGGAGATTAGTAAGGCTAAAAATAGAATGGGTGGTGTAGCCAAGGAGGATACGTTTGCTGTCATTGGCGGTTCTCGATAGGATGTTAATATCAATTTGAAGAAGGAGTTTGCTGGGGAAAAGGTATCTTTGCATAAAGGAAGAAACAAGTTTACAGTTCTCAATGATTTGGTGGAAGAAGGTGAGATTGTTTATGTTGTTGATATAGGAGAGGGAAGTGTTCAGCCTAATGTTATTGGGGATGTGGATGAGGATCCTTCTGGGTTCTCAATTGCTAGAAAGTATATGGTGTGTTCTCCAACTGGTCATGCTCCAGATGTGAAGGCCGTGTGAGAGTCTAAGGAAGGAAGTTCTACTACTATTAATGTGAATCATGCTAAGAAGCTTAGAGGACTTAATAATATTAAGTTGGCGCCTAGAGGCAAGAGGATTGATGGTAAGGGAAAAGCAAAGGTGGGGAATCCTTCCCCTTTTATTCATTTTTAGTTTCTATTATTTTTTGGAACTTTAAAGGAGGCAGAAATAAGAAAGCTTCTCTATATCTAAAAGAGGTAGTAAAAGATCATAATATGTTTATTATGGGGTTGTTGGAAACTAAAGTTTCCAATTTCATTAGAATGGATATGCATTTCCTTAATGGAAATGATTGGGATTTCTTTCAAGTTCCTACAATTGGCTTGTTTAGGGGAATACTTTTGCTTTGGAAGTATAAAATACCTTCTTTTTCTTTATTATATTCTTCTAATCGAGTGGTAATAGGAGAGCTTGAAGTTGTCAATAAGGGTGTTTAGAGAATAGCAACTTTTTATGGTGGAAAGGAGTTGGTTCAAAGGAGGATCCTTTACGAGAAAGCTAGAAGCTTTTTCATAATTAATCTTCCTATGGCGGTTGGAGGGGATTGCAACTGCATTTTATCCTTGGAAGATAAAAGAGGGGGTAAGGACTTTCAGTTCTCTTAGGCTTCCAAAGAGATGAAGTCTTTCTTGGTAAATAATGATCTTTAAGTGGTGGGAGTTATCAGGCCAAAATTTACTTGTTTCAAAAACAAGGTTGATGGAATTCATATCTTGGAAAGGTTATATAGTTGTTTTGTAAATCCAGTAGCTATGAACTCAACTCGGTTAGTTTTGAGAATCCTGGCTAGAATGGCATTTGACCATTGTCAAATTTTACTGAATTTCATGGAAAAATAAATTTTCAAATGATAGAATTATAAGGTTTGAGGATGTATGGGCTTTTTATCCAAAATCTATTGGTATTGTGAGATCGGCTAGGAGCAAGAGGATAGGATGGAACTTTGTGGAATTACTGAATTGTAAATTTTGTTGAACTTTGAAATCTTTATTTTTTGGAGCAAAGCTAAGCATAAGGTATATAGCCAGTAGAAAGAAGTTCTTAAAAAGAGTATCCTGGAGCTATAATCGAAGGAGGCAGAGGTTGATTGGCTCTATGAGGAGGACAAATTACAACTTAGATCATATATTTATGAGTTAAATTCAATTTTGGATCGATTGAACACTAGGTGGAAGCAAAGAGCTAAGGTTAAATGGATGTCTTAGGCAGATACTTATTCAATGTTTTTCCAATTTTACTCCTCGGCTAGAAAAAATTCAAATAGGATTT